AAAGTTCGATTAATTATATAAAAAAAAGCTGTGTCGGTTTGTTTGACAAAATTAACCAGTTTAGTTAACAAAGGAGTTTTGAATACAGTTTACGAGAGTGTTGCATGTTTGACCTAATGATTTTTTAAATTTTGGTCCAACAAACGACAATGTTTGTTGCCAAATTAAGGATTTTTAGCGAACTTATTTAATTTCTATCATCACGTAGTCTTAAATATGACATACACAAACCGAACCCATAGGATACTTGCCGGGTGTCGTTCTGATTTACTATAAGATTTGGAAACGGATGTCTCCCAATATGGGATCAAAGAAATTTATCCGTTAAAGTTCAGTAACAATTTCTCGGCCAATACTGATTCTATCAGTCAGAAATTATCAGGTAAATTTATATTATTACACTATATTTCCTTATTGACTTATTTTACTTTGAAGACATACCAGAAATAATGTACTATGAGATAGAAGAACTTGATATATTGAAAAGTAGTGAAAATCGCATAGCAATAAAGATGCTATTCTTTCAAAGGAAAAAGAGCAAGAAACTTTACATATTCCAATCGTGTTTAATGCAAACCAGAATGTTACAGATAAATTGAAGTTCTGAAGTGATATTTTTTCTCTTAACTTAATTTTGGTTTTAGATGTCCAGAATTTTGTTATAGAAAAGACACAAAATTATTCATTTGCTTCATCTTCGTCATCGAACTCTTCGTCAAGTTCTTCAACAAGTAGTAGTGACTCATTAGATTCTTAAAATGAACCGTTTGGATCTGATGACGGTGTTAAGGATCCATACTATATTAAATCGTAATCAGATTCTGATAATATTGGTTCACGTAGAGAAGTAGAAAAACTTAAGTTGTCAAAAAACAGAAAATTACTTGATCCGTATAAAACAGAGAAAAAAATTATTAAGAAATTAGAGCTTATGGCAAAAATATATAGCAAAACAGTTGAGAAATCGTGACAAAATAGTTATGTTGGCTGAAAATAAATTATACAGAAAATCAAGCTGTATTTACGTTTCCGATCAGTAAGCTTGCATTATGAGATCAGCAACAAAAACTGGAAAAACATACAAAGTAAACGAACTTTGTTTTAAGGACATTATGGATTTAAAAAAATTAACTTCTGACTTGTTTGTGAATATCCAAAAAAATGTAAAAAACTGCGTCATTTAGAGTAATCAAATTAGAAAACAAAATCCAAACAAATTATTTTATAAAAATTCTTTCGAAGATACAGATTTCTGCCAAGCGGAAGTTATTAGATCAAGAAAAATGGTTAATATAGAACAAATCCAAATAAAAAACGCATATTCCACGAAACCAGGAATATCAGACGCAAAAAAACACGTTTGATATCATTAGTCAAACAGAAAAAATGCGTCCCGCCATATTATCTTGATTTTTACAATAATTTGTAATGATTTAATTTAATTCTTTTTATGATTTTAGGTGTGTATTCAATAATTATCAATTAGATTAATAATGTTACAGATTATAAACATTTACTAATTTTTAATTCAAAACCGTTGCATGTATTTTTTTATAACAATAAATAAACAGTTTGAAAAATCACAATTATGTCATTTAATTAAATCCGACTTAGCCTACTTATTTAAATAAAAAGCAAAAAATTCTATTAATTAATGATTAGGAAATAAAAAAAATAACTCCTAAAAAACTTAAAACCCTTCTCCTGCAAAAGTAGTTTTTTTGAGTTGTAACCCTTTTCTTCCGAACGATCGAGATGTCCCTGTATAAATAACTAATGGAAGTTAAAAATTTATGTTTTTAGAACGTAACACATGGTTTATCACTTTTTATATTGGCCACTTGTTTATTTATATACAAATAAATAATGTGCCATAAATATTAGTGCCTTACAATACAGATGTCGGATTACTGTGTATTTATAATCCATTCAAACAGCATGTGGAATAACTATATGATAGAAATTTTTTGTTATAATAAACAGGAGTTCAATGATATACAGTGATTCACAAAATTATTATATTGTTCTGAAGCTATTTTCTTGTGGCATTGTAAATTAATTACCATTAAACTGGGAATAAGCCACAATTATTATAAAAAAATTAACCCAAAAATTACATGGCTTATTAAGAAACTTTTTTTGATGAGCAATACCATTTTTGGGAAAGATGCTACACGTAATTGTATGCATTCTATTCCGCTTTCTATCTTTTACACGCCTTTTGGTAGGAATCAATCAATATGCTTCACTAACCTACCTTATTACCTACTCATCTATCAGCCGATTTAATACATTTAGGAATTTCTAATTCAAAGCATTAAATGTGTTTTGATTTCATATTATTGTATTTGAAAACTTTCTCAGGCTAATATGAGCCCAAATGAATACCTCACTAGAATTGTAACGAATTAGATTGGCAAGCTCTCTGAATTATCAAAGCAACTGAAGTAATTCTGATAGGTACATATTTTACGATAAAGCCAGAACACAAAGACTACTGGAAATGACAGATATAAGAGTACTGAGAAAAATTACAGGCAATACCCTGAGAAATCGAAAGAAGAGTGAAGACATTAGAAGAACATTTAACGTACAGTATATAAACGAATGGACATTTAAAGCCTACACGCCTTGCAAAAGTTCCACGTCTTTTCCAAAATCATAAAGCTCGTCGTTTGGAATTTGCAAGAAGACATATTCATCGGAATAAGGACAACTGGAAAATGTTCTTTTTACTGATGAGACCAGAATACTATTATATAAGCCAGATGGTCGAAACCGCGTCTACAGAAGAGTTGGAAAACGATTCGCCACCTGCATTCTTACCCAGACCGTTAGTTTTGGAGGTGGTGGCATAATCCTTTGGGGAGGTATTAGTTGGGAGTGACTTGTGCAAGTGATTAGATGAATGACTGGTGACACTTACGTTCAAAAATCCTGCAAGATCATGCTTTGCCATATGTTGGTTACATTTTATATGACAGATTCATGTTAATGCATGATACTGCTTGACCACATGCTGCAGCCATAGTAAGTAACTCTCTTGATGAGATTCAAATTCAAAGATTGAATTTTCCACCATATAGTCCGGATTTAAATCCTATAGAGCACATGTGGGATGCTAAAACACCGCATACGACAAAGAAATCCCATTCCAAATACAATAGAGCAGCTTCGGCTTGCTGCACAGGATGAATGAAATGATATTTACCAAAGATATGTAGAAAATTTACTTGCAAGCATGCCAGGAAGGATGCAAGCAGTTAGCAGCTAGCAAAAGCTAGAGGGGGAATACTCGTAAAGAAACCTTATTTACCTAGCTTTAAACATTTTTTTTTCGTAATTTTATTTAAAATTAAAATAAACTCTTTCCCAATAAACGACTTGATTAACCAGAATTTATTTTCAAAAAAAAATTAGAAATTTCAAAATATTGGATATTTTTATCTTAGAGTGTATAACCAAAATTAAATCAGGAAATCCTAGGAAAGACGAGAAAATAATGGGAATAATTAAGAAACGATATCTAAGATAAAAAATCGATGCAGAGTAAGATGCAGATAAATTAATTCAGTAACTTAACTTAAACATTTACTCTTTTTGATAAAATAGCGATTATGTAGAAATATAATGCAGAGAAGTAAATTATAAAAATGATCGTTCTGTGTTATCTGGATAATTCCTTTTTAACAATACACTTTAGAATAACAGTCATTTTATCAAATGCATGTTATCATGAGGGTTTTGTGTACCATACTATTTATAATCATTAGTATGTTTGTTATTTGTGTTTACACTATATAATAAGAAAATTAGGCATTATCCTAAATTTTATTGATGTTTGTATAGAGGGCGGCCATCTTGTTATGCAAGGGAAAGTTGTAATTTTTTTTTTAACAATTCAGAGACATAATATATGGTGCTATGTTTCTTTATACATTTTGCTGGCAAAAATTCTTAAGCAAGCATACACCTTGGAGAGGACAAATCCTTTCGGATCAACTCCTTTATCATTTATAATTCTTTCATTATTAAAATTATAGAAATATGTAAATTTTCTTAATTTAAAATAATAATTAATTAGGAAACTAAATTTTTTGGTGATAATAATGCTAAATCAAATTAGAAATTTGTTCTTCTGTTGGTAGGGAAAAAAGATTACCATTTTCTAAATTATACGTACAATTTTTTAATACTTAACGCAGATTTTTTGGCTTATACGGACTCTATTTCACCTTCATAATCAAAATATGTATAAATAAATATACTGGATGCTGTTTTATAAAATTTGGTTTATGAATATTGGAAAACTATTATTGATTTCTTCAGAAGATGAGCGCTAAAGGACGTATCTTGTTTTACCACTGCTTCAAAGTGCCTTTTGTGTGCACCAAAAACTTTAATGTGCAATAGGCTCTATATTTATCATGTTTTACATCAAAATTGTAAACTTTAAAAAATTCAGACATTGACCTTGACTGTATTGATGTTTATTAGAAAGCATCCATCTTGTTTTGGAAGGAAATTGGGCAATTGTAGAAATTTGAAAAAATATGATTCCTGTTTAAGTTTGTATTAGTACAAATATCTTTTAGAATGATTTACGTTTCAACTATATCTTCATGGTATAAACTATTTTGCTATGTCAAGCTGCCCATGATTCATTTTTTATTACGTAGTAAAAAGAGGAAAATGAAAATTTTGGTAAATTTAAAAAATCGTTTAAAAAAACTGAATTTTTGAATGTTACTTGTGTTTATTGCAATGATATTGTGACTATGTTTCCAATTATTTTATAGATTTCATCCAGTTTTAATATTTTGCTCAAGGTTGTCGATACTTCCATATTAAGCGCATATGTCTAAATTTTGGTTTTTGTGTAATAAATAAGAGAAATATCTTATTTTCATAAATTTTATAAAAGAAATAATGCTTTTTGAATTTATATATGCGTATTTTTGGAATCAAATTCATGAAACAAAAAAAATCGATAAATTTACCTTAAGATATAGGTATTATTTTTTATAATCCAATTTCTTCAGAATTTAACACATTTGTTGTCGCACATGTGAAGACACTTGTCATTTAAGCACTTTAAGATGCACATTTAACATTTTTTTCCTGCAGACTTGAACGAGTTGGCGAATTGAAATGCTTAGTCGACGGCTTCCGCAGTTGGACTACTGTATGTTTTCATCAACAAGTGTTGGTTCACTTGCGTAGGCCTATGATTCCAAGCACTCCTGCTCTCTGCTGTTTATTCTTTATTATTGTTAAACGGTGATGTAAATGCTCCTTTTTTGGATACAGGGAATGTGTTCGTATACGCGGTGTCACAGAATTCATCTAATTTCTTACCAGCTATTTAGGATCTCGCAGCAGAAATTAATTGAATTAAACTCGGTATTGAGCGTTGTAGGGGTGTTTCCTGTCTGTAGATATATTCACACAACAATTAAATAAGTTGATAATTTTAAAGAATGATTCAGTATGATTTACACATTTATAGAAACACGAGATGGCAGCAGTTGTACAAATGGAACAAAAGAAATAAATTTTGATATACTCCATATACAGTGTGGGACAATCGTATAATTATTATAACACATTTTTTGAGTTGCTGTAATAATCCAATAGTTACTCATATTAAAATGAAACTATAGAAAAATAACTTGTTTAAACAACTTAAATCTGTATTATTTACATATATATTACGTATGAATTAAATTGTCCCAGAGTGTATGATAATATACACTCTGGGCCAAAATTAACCGGCCACCTTTAAAATGGGTAATTTTTGGTTTGTTATATCTCCTAAACCTGTTGTCCGATTTAAGTGATTATTTTAATATGTTATAGCCTTATTCCTTGACAATACCTTAATAATACGAATAAATAAATGTGTATAAACACAGTTTATTCGGTGTACGAATAAACTGTTTTTTCTTAAAGTTTGCATCACCCTGAGGAATATTATAGCTTTTGTAGAATACTGAAATTAAATCGTAACTTATAGCCTTATGCTTTCTCAACATTTTGTTTTTTGATTGATTCCCTTATAATGGATAATAAAAAAGTTAGGTGCTTTAACAACTAGACATGTGTTTTATCAATTTTTATCTCCGCGGAAGAGAAAAAATAATCTTTTTGAAAAAAAAAAAGTCATTTGTTACAGTAAAAATCCAATGAATATAATCTTAGAAGAAAATTCAAAATAACAGTATTTTGGAAATCAAAGTTTAATTGAAAAAAAATTGGATATCAATAATGGGTGTTGCCGCCTCTAGCCCTTAGGACTACTTGAAGCCGGTTTAGCAATATATTCATGATATCCTGGCTATCAGATTGGGGGATATTGTGCCACTCCTCTACCGCAGCTATCTTCACCTCTTCAAAGGATGCAGGGGCTTGTACTCTTGCTCCTACTCGTCTTTTGAGGTTCAATTAGGTTAAGATCGAGACTGTGTGCTGGCCATGGTAGAACTTGAATCCCGACCTCATTAAGGTACTCACGGGTAGATCTTGCTGTATGGCAACGTGAATGCATTAGTCTGAAGTTATCACCAATGAATGGTGCAAAAGGCATGATATGGTCTTGGAGAACTTCTTGCACGTATACTTGCGCATTCACACTGTCTCTACCGAACACAACAAGATCAGTACGCTCTTCGTAAGAAATACCTTCCAAAATCAATATTGACCCTCCTCGGTAAGCCATTGTTTCGGTTATAGCGCATGCAGCAAACCTTTTATTTTGACGCCTATAGACACGTTGTGTCCATCTGCACCTTTTAGGGATATTCTGCTCTCATCTAAGAACAGTATATTCTTCCATTCCGCCATAGTCCAGTTAGCATATTCTAGCGCAAAATGAAGTCTAGCCCTACGGTGTTGTGAGAGCAGTGGTGGTGCACGAGCTGGACGAAAAGCCCTTAACTTTATTTCTGACAGTCTTGTTTTAATTGTTTATCTACTCACACTAACGTTTATCACCTCAAGAAGAGAACTAAGACCTTCAGGAGCGGTGCAAAAGCGATTTCTCAATGCTTTAGTGACAATGAAGCGTTCATCTCGAACTGAAGTGCATCATTTTCGCTCTTGACATGGCCTGCGGTTGTACTATCGTGTCTCCCGAAATCGTCTGAAGGCATCTTGTACGGTAGTTCTGGGTACATCGAGTATACCAGCGATATGACGTTGACTGTTCAGTTGGAACGAGTGGCATTTTAAAAATCACAAACAATATTCGCTCACAATGATATAAAATTACAATTTTAATTGTTAATTTTAATTACAAATTTAATTTAAATTACAAATTGTTCAAGAATTGTTATTAACACGGAAACAGATTTGCAACAATGTCGTACAACGGCTATATGTCAAAAATCCTTCGATGACACAAATTTAGGAAACAAACTGCCACAGGTAATGTAAACAAAACAATAATAAAGGTGGTGGGGTTAATTTTGCTGGTGAGTTAAATCATCTGTATTCATGAAAATCATGGCTAGGTGTTAAACTACCTCACTTTTGTATTATCCAACATAAGTGAGTCAATCAAAAACAAAATGTCGAGAAAACATGAGGCTATAGTTAGGTTCTAATTTCAATATTTTATAAATGCTAAAATATTCCATGGTGTGATGCAAACTTTAAGAAAAAAACACAGTTTAATTCGTACATCCGGTATACAATGAAAATTTACCAGTTTAGCAACCATATTATTATAACGATATTGTCAAGGAATAGGGCTATAACGTATTAAAAAAATCACTTAAATTAGACAACAGGTTTAGGAGATATAAGACATCAAAAATTACCCATTTTTAAGGGGGCCGGTTAATTTTGGCCCAGATTGTATAAATTAATCACATCTAAAAAGTCATAAAATCAATTCAATTGCAATTGGATGTAGCAATATCTTGCCTTCTATGGCACGTAGAATATTTATTTTTTGAAGCGAAGCTTCTATATTAGCGTTGTATTTCTGTATTGTAAAACTGCCATGGGGCGAGCGTCACGGGACTAGTGCCACGAGAAGGCGTCACATGTAGCGTTACGAAAAAGCAGTTCTTCAAATCGATTCACTACTCTCGATCAATTCGTTTTTATTCATCACTTATTTCCCCTAAGCAGGTTTAAATTAAAAACTGCATAAAAAATAACTAACTAAATATAGACATTAAATGAGCAGTAATAAATTAAAAGAATATTTGTCAATAAAAGATTCGATTCGCAACAATTGCCAAAATCTAAAAGTCATAAATATCATTGGATTAATCACAATATTGAATCTATTTCATTTTTTAACACACTTCAAATAATTTCATAATACATACAATTATTTTTAAACATATTATTATATTATATAATAATTAAATTTACTATCAAATGATATTTATTTATATTTTATTAAAATTTAATTTCGTTTGAATTTGACAGGTCTCTCAGAAGTAAACAACCTAATCTTTGTTAATACGTCAACAGTTGGCATTAGCAGCAAACATAATAATTTATTGAATTATTTAAATATAATATAATTTGTATAAATTTAAATAATAAATAAATAATAAAATTACTTTATTAAATTTTTTAAACTATTTAAATTTTTAAAATACAGAAAACAGAATGAAGCTTCGAGATAATCTGCTGTATCGCCTACTGTATCACTTTTAACTGGGGTAGCTATATCAAAATAATGCTACTATAATAGAACTGCTTTACTTTTACCTTCCAGAAAAATCGTAAAATCCCAGAACAACATATTAATTCATTTATTCGATAAAAAAGTTGTTGAATTTTACTATTATTTTGTAACAAATATTTAAATTATATTAATTAATATAAATCTTCTACATAATATAAAATTCTCGTGTCATAGGAGGAGACCAACCTATTATATTACCAACCCCAAAAACATGAAAATTAATTTGATTTTGTTATGATGTGGCATTAAAAATTACATATCACCTTTCTATCCCTAACCACTATTTTTGCTGCACACACACTGCTGAATTATTCTCTATTCTCCAAGCTACAAACTTACTATCACCAGAATATAAAAATGTAGCAATATGTTCAGACTCCTTAGCGTCTATCTACTCTCTCAAAGAATGTACAAAGGATCTGGATTCCGTCTCATGTAGAAATCCCTGGTAACGAACTAGCCGACCTCTTTGCAAAACAAGTCACATCTTCTAATATGATTACATATCACCTTTCTATCCCTAACCATTATTTTTGCTGCACACATACTGCTGAATTATTCTCTATTCTCCAAGCTACAAACTTACTATCACCAGAATATAAAAATGTAGCAATATGTTCAGACTCCTTAGCGTCTATCTACTCTCTCAAAGAATGTACAAGGGATCTGGACTCCGTCTCATGTAGAAATCCCTGGTAACGAACTAGCCGACCTCTTTGCAAAAAAAGTCACATCTTCTAATATGGAGATGAAAATATACAATTACATACAGATTTACAGTCGTATTTTAAAAATATCATCCAAATATCTTGACAAGATCACTGGAATAAAATCCCTTCCAAGCTTCGAGATATCCATCCCACCGTTAAAATGTTTTCTTACCTGACACGAATAAACAAAATCTTAATTTAATCATAAACATTTAATGACTTCCCAAGATTCACATTTTATCTGTAAAACATATTCTCGTAGACTATCCCTTTAAGGTCGAAACCTACAAAATATTATCAGCTCGCCAGATCAATTGCAAAACCTTATTAATTTCCGTAAAATAGTTTCGAAACACAATTCAGATTTCCGTTTTAATCTGTGCTTTCTTAAAATTGCAAAGCAAAACAGACGTTGATAAAGGTGTTAAAAGAGACGTGGGAAATCTAAAATTTGCATTCCACGACACGGCTTTTCAACTAAGCAGAAATCCTTAGCAAATTGGTTTCTCGTACTCGTACAGAGTAGATCCGAATAAAGTGAAAAAGACAGCAAATATTTGATTTCACGCAAACAGCGCCTTTGTATCTGTTGATACGTATTTCGACCTAATAGGTCTCATCAGAACAGTTATTCAAAGGTGTTCTCAACGTGAAAAATCAATATTTTCTGTCTTTTAAGAAGTAACACTAAAATGGCTTCGATACGGACGTTTCACTTCACCTTATTAATTTCCTCTACGAAACCAAGCTTTACTAGGAAATTTAGAAGAAGAAACGTAATTCATAATTTGATAATTAATAATTGTACCAATATTTAAATGTATTTAATGTATTTCTTTATCGATTCTAATGTTACTGTATATTCTTGTCATGTAATAAAATTGTACCTGTGTCAGTGACCTAAGCTGTCGAGACACGTAAAGCTTAATAAAAAAAAATTAGTAATTAAAGTTAAAAAAAATCGTAAGTAATAATATTATGGTATAAACAAATAGAAATTCCAGAAATCTAAGATTTCTGAAATTTCTTTTCCCATTGATAATA